GCTGACGCGAGGGCGCCGGTGCTGCCGGCCCCGCCGCGCGGGCCCCCGCGAGCGCTCACCGACCACCACGTCCACGGGCAGCTGGGCCAGCAGCTTCCCGATGGGCGTCAGCTCCTCGGCCTCGTCCAGGGCGCCCTGCTCCCGCAGGTAGCGCACGGCCGTCTCCAGGCTGGACGGCGGCGGCGGCTCCAGGAAGGGGAAGGTCCGCGGGTCCCCCAGCCCCATGCTCTTCAGCTGCGAAGGAGCCACGTTTAGCCACGGGCAAACGTGTCGCCTGCCTCCCCACGAGGGCCCCGGAGTCCGGGCCGTGGCGCACCCCGCGTCTCAGGGATCGCAACCCCCTAACTGGGGTTATGGCCAGTGTCTCCTAGAAGGCTTCCCGCGTATTTGCTGGAGCGAAGCCACGCGGAACGGGCGGGCACGGCCTCACCTGCAGCACCAGCGCGTCCAGCGCGACCCGCTGGATCTCAGGCACCGGGTACGGGGAGAAGGCGTCGTAGTCGGACTCAGCGTAGAGCCGGTAGCAGACGCCGGGGCCCGTCCTGCCCGCGCGGCCCTTGCGCTGCTCGGCGCTCGCCCGGCTGATCCAGAATTCCTGGAGCCGCTGGAGCTTTCCCTGCGGGTCGTAGCTCATCTCCTTCACCTTGCCTGGAAGGAGATCCGGGGGTTAGGGCTGGACGCGCGGGGATGCGGCGGCGGCACCGCGTGCGGCGCCGGGGGCCTCACCGGAGTCCAGCACGAAGCGCACGCCGTCGATGGTCACCGAGGTCTCCGCGATGTTGGTGGAGAGGATGCACTTCCGAACGCCGGGCGGGGGCACGTCGAAAACCTAACGGGCGGGAAAGGACRGCGGAACGTCACGGCGACGGCCCCGCTGCCTTCCGCAGCGGATCCGCCGACGGCGCCGGAGCGGCGGGGGAAACCAGCACGCCCCCAGCACGGAGCGCCGGGCTCCGAGCCAGCGTTTCGGCAGCATCCCCCCCAAAACGCAGCGAGCGGGGCCCACCTTGTCCTGCTCGGCCACGGAGAGGGTGCTGTGCAGGGGCAGCACGACCCAGCGCTGCGTGCGCGCCGCGTAGGGCTGCGCCGCCTCCAGCACCGCGCCGATCTCGGCCACGCCGCTCAGGAAGACGAGCAGGTCGCCGCGCTCCTCCGGCGGGTACTTGTGGTCGATGGCCTGCAGCACCCGCAGGAAGGGCCGCGGGTCCAGGCGCTCCGTCTTGCCGCCCGGCGCCGCCTCCTCCTTGGGGATGGGCTGGTAGATGACCTGCRGGAGCGCGGCGCTGACGGAGCTCGGGGAGCGGCGGCGGCTCCCCTCGCCGCTCCGCGTCTCACCGTGATGGGGAAGCTCCTCCCGGGCACCTGCAGCACCGGCGCGCCGCCGAAGTAGCTGGAGAAGAGGCCGATGTTGATGGTGGCCGACATGAGGATGAGCTTGAGGTCGGGCCGCGCGGGCAGCAGGCGCCGCAGCACGCCCAGGAGGAAGTCGCCGTGCAGGTGCCGCTCGTGCACCTCGTCGGCCACGAGCACGCGGTAGCCGGGCAGCGTGGGCTCCCGCTGCACCTGCCGCAGCAGCAGCCCCTCCGTCAGGAAGAGGATCTTGGTGGCCGCCGAGCGGCTGCTCTCGAAGCGGATCTGGTAGCCCACCTGCACGGAGGAGGAGCGCGTGAGGAAGGGCGAGGCGGCCGCGGGGCGCCCGGGGCGCGCGCGCCCACCTGCTCCCCGTGCTGCTGCAGGCTCTCGAAGGCGACGCGCTTGGCGAGCGCCACGCAGGCGATGCGGCGCGGCTGCGTCACGGCCACGCGGCCGTAGCCGGCGGCCAGCAGGAACTGCGGCACCTGCGTGGACTTGCCGCAGCCCGTGTCGCCGGCCACCAGCACCACCTGGTTGCGCGCCACGGCGCGCAGCAGCGGCGCGCGGTACTGCGCGATGGGCAGCGCGGCGCGCTCGCGCTGCAGCTTGGCGAGCCGCGCGAAGCTGCGCTTCTGCGCGAAGTCCAGGTAGTGC